TAACCTGGGGGTGTAGGGGTAGATGTTGGGAGGAAGTGATGTTGTAGGGTTGGATTTTTGGACGTGACAGGGTTATGTACTCTTGATATGATCCATGCATGCCATGCATCCAGCTGGCTGACCTGCCGCCTCAGTGACTCAGCCAGTCAGCCGCCATGGCCATGCTGTATGGTTTCACCCTCACCAAGCCAAAGCCAAGGCAAGGGAGACCGCCGGGCTTCCGGGATGGCCTGCGCCTCAGGTACGGCTGGACACCTCCACGGCTCCCAAGCCTCTGGCTGTCTGAGCTGCGTGAGCAGCAAGCCAGTGAATGTCAGTCACGCCCTCAGCCTGTGCCACGCGTTTGGTGGCTTCCCGACGCTGCGCCATAACGAGGTGAGGGATGTCGATGATCACCGCCAGAGATCTGAGGCAGGTCGCTCATAACGTGAGGGTGGAACCCCACCTCCAGCCCGTCACCGGAGCGGCCTTCCGCCATCGTATCGCGCAGCCGTCACGGAGGAGCAGGCTCGGCTGGATGTTGCGGCTAGTGGTGTGTGGGGTGGCCGATTCGAGCGCATCTTTATCGATGTACGGGTGCTCAACCCTTTTGCGTCTTCGAATCGTGCCGCCTCCCTCGCTGCTACTGCTAGTTACTGACGCCATGAACAAGAAAAGCGCTGGAAGTACGAAGAGCGAGTACACGAAGTCGAGCATGCCTCCTTCGTTCCCGTTGTGCCTCTGGTGGCTATGGCAAGCATGCCAATGCGCTTTTCTCACGGATCGCCTCTCTCCTGGCTGAGAAAAGCAAGGAGCCATACGCGCAGGTTATCTCCTTGCTGCGCTGCCGCCTTGAGTTTGCCCTGGTTCGTTGTGGTGCCATGTGCCTGCGTGGCTCAAGGAGCATGTTTGCTCCTGCCTGCCGTGCCCGGCTGAGTCCCTTGCTGAAAAATCATCCAGTGGCGCCAGTGCGTCATCATCATCATGCATGTACAATGTACATGGAAGCCGGAAGGAAGGAGCGGCCCTATTTATATATACAAATGTACAAGTACATGACTTAGGGTTCCCTGTAACAAGACGGCAACGTCTGTAGGGCCTTCCCTATCAAAATAATAAATTCTACTACTACTACTACTACTACTGCTGAAATTGTGAAAAAGATCGAGGCTTTCGAAATGAGAAGCTATCGACGCCTTCTAAGGATTCCGTTCACTTATCACCGGACGAATGTGTCTGTTAGAGAGTGAATAAATAGTATTCACAAACAAGTCCCACTTATTGTTTCTGTTCGTGAAAGGAAATTGCAATTTTTTGGTCATATTGTTCGTTCCGGCTGTTTGTCATTGACTGTTCTTCAGGATTGTGTTGAGATTAGGATACTAACAGTTGAGACTGGGGGCTACAGTACTATGATACCTAGGCTACGTGAGAATTGCTGAACTGTGCTTCTACAAAGAGAACATAGTAATAATTATGATGAAGAAAGGAAAAGGACAAAAATTACTGCAGTGAAGTTTGACACGGATTTTTCGTACGTTGCACCGGTTCTGCTGTACGTAGCATGCTCGAACCATGCACGAACACCCCGCCACATGTACTCTGTACGCTCACTTTTCACACGGAGTCCGGTCCGTGTGAACCGCGCTTCACACGGAAAACGGTATGAAAAAATCCGTATCAAACTAAATACCGTACCGCTGCGAAGTTTCCATACGTACTTTGGCACGTTATACCGTGTGGCAGAACCAGCTGCACTAGTAATAATTATTATACGTTTGCTTCCCAGGATTGCAGGCAGGCATAGTGGGATGGTCTAAGACCATGATTGAGCAACAGAGGGTACCAGGTTCAAGTCCCGCTTGGAAGAGGAAGGATTTTTCCAGCCGTGCTGCGACCCACAGTTAATTGGGAACTCGTGGCCTGGCACGAGGAGAACATGGATGCAGTGAATGGGATTTTCGGTCTTTGACCACTTGCTGGTGAGCTGATCTACTCACCTCCCACCGATTTAGGAGCTGCATCTGCGCATTGATCCTTGAAGGGTGGTGGCGTTCCTACGGATCCGGAAAACTCGGTCTCCAGCCGAGTCTCACGCGAACCGTGAAAAAATGCTACGAGGTCACACGTTGTGCGGCAACCACGGCCACCCATGCCAGGGCCATGCAGGCATGCACCCACTGCACAATCGCATCTACATGTACATTGTATCAAGAGTCCAGGGGGTTATGGACTCTTGATTGTATCTGTCCACACCTTCTTATCTTTGCTGTATTGAGCACGTGCAAGACTAGGCCAGTGCCGCCTTCAGTATAAATCTTGGCTCTGTGTATTCCATAATATATCAGAGATTCAAGAGTAGACTCGGATGGAGAGCCAAGGATTATACTAATTTATGCCAAAGAAAAGGACCAAGGAACTACAAGTTACGCTCACTCGCTCAGATAATAGAGAGGTTCCGCATTACGTAATTACGTTAGTAAAAAACGTAGTCGATCTACGGAAAGTCTTACGTAAACTGCATGCGCATCTGGGTTCCGCCATACGGAGTTTTCAAATCACGAAGCTGCCCTTGGCAACTCCGAACGCGGCAGTGTACGACCAGATCGACCTGGGGAGAGAGTCATAAATTTGTACCCCAATCCACTTACGGACCAGCTACGTTATCAGAGCCCTATCTACGTACTCTCCGTAGACAACTTTCCGTAAGTGGAGTGCAAACTCGCGAATTCACGGGTTTTTCCCGCCCACTAACGTAAAGTTGCTCAACTTTACGTAGTGCGGAACCTCTCTAAAATGTTCATAATCTGACCAGTGCTCTGCGAAAACCGACCTTAGGTGCTATTTTGGCGAAATTGAGTTTGTGCTGGATTGTTGACCCAGGACCCTTTCTTCAACTTCTGGTGAAGTTTTAGGTGGATTGCATACATATTCAGTTAGATACAATGACAATTTCTTTGCACTTTTCTTGCAATTTTTGGAGGAAAAATAGCAAAAATCCAGGATTTTATGCTACATTTTGGAACAAATGCAGCAAGAATTCAAGCAGGATGATTGCAACCAAACTTTGCAGAATAAATCTGTATGTCATAATGCTCAAAAGGAAAGGTTTATGATGGCATTGGATCTTCCTGTTGTGGAGATAGACACATTCTATCTCTGTTCTGTGGATGGTGTTGCTCACGAATCTGGTGGAAGAGGTATTTGGCTCTGTTTGAGGATATGCCAGCCGGAGTGATGCGTAGAGGCAGGTGCAAAGTAGTGAAGAAGCTAGGACCAATGCCGGATTAAAGGATATTGATAGTTTTATCTGGTACTGGTAGTTAGAACATCTAGTTATGTCTACATCAGCCGCACACATTGTTTCGTAATCGGCGATATCATGGCAGTCTCTTTTCCAAATCTTGCCAAACGTACTGTATGCAGCTTTGCCACCAGGCTTTGTGAACGCCTGGTGAACAAGCTTCTTCGTAGTGATACTGGGCAAATACATGTAGGTTGGTACTGGCTTGTTGTGTCCATGTCGAGCCGCAGGTTAAGGGAGGCCATGAACTATAGCATAATACTAGCATAGCATAATGCTCTATAAAATGCTTCAGCTCCACAACATCTTCCACAGGCAGTGCATTCCAGAGTTCTGTGTTGGGCTGATTACACTTGCACTGACAGCAGCCTGTAGATTTCAGCACCCAGGGCTTGATCCTGGAGGCACACACAAAGACTTCCTGACATGCATGTACATGACTTCCACACCAGCCACTGACTCTGTGCTTCAGTAGTTCAGAGTAGTATTGTTGAGCCCCATCTATCACATCTCCCAGCATGCTGGACGCGCTGGGTAGCCTCACCACGTCTCCTGAGCACGTCTAGCTTTCCGCCTACACACAAGCAGCGATCTGTCTTGATCAGGACCTGCGCTGTGTGTGCTGTAAGTGCAAGCAAGGTTTCAAGTGTCACGCTCTTGAAACAGCACCAGTGCGGAACACCTACAGCGCTTGTCAAACTTGTCACGCGCCTCCTGGATTGTAGACAGTACTTGAACCGATTTTTCTTGGCGTGCACTCTGTATATTGCCGGCATTGAGGGGCTGGGCTGGTGGCAGAACCGACGCCTGATCGAAATTCTCCTCCGCATCACCGTCCAGCTCGATCAGCGTTACGTCCTGCGATTCCACATCCGACTCTCCTCGGCACTGCTGTCATCAGAACTGCGATTGGACCAGGCCAAAGAAATGACTATTCATCGTGAAGGAGTTCGGCTAAAACCTCTGGGGAGAAGCCCGCAGCAATTTGAGCTAGCGACTGTCTTCTGCTTCGTTCCGCCATGACTCTCACCTTGTAATCTTCAAAAATCGACAGATCGTGACGTTTTGTTCTTTTTCTCGAAAAAATTACGAAGCACCTAAGGTCGGTTTTCGCAGAGCGCGGGTCATCTGATAATAGGGCTTGAAAGTGCTACGTCACAGCATAGCAACAATTTCAAAAATTCAAAAACTGGATCCACTTGGATCCAGTTTTTGTATGGATCCAAGCACATTTCAAGCGGTCATACTCACAACAAGGTGATGTAGCCAGTGAAACTGACTGATTTGGCTAATGGGGGCGGGGTGACAACTGGTGGCGAAATAAAAGTCACCCCTGCATACGACATGAGTGGGTTGCTATGCACCCACATACTTAGGCAATAGCAAAGTCACACCTTAGTGGATCCAAAATAGAAATCTGATGTCAACTTATTACTTTTTGGCCGTTTTTGACGTCATCACTTTCAAGCCCTATATTTAGAAAAGCGATCCTGTCAGCTTTTCTATTATTGTGTTCACATGGCGCTACCTAACGACACCGCTATTCAGACACGTTGTCTACGTAGCTACGTAAGTTTCTACGTAAGATGCTCGGTACCTGGTCCTGCAGGGAGGCCGGAGCTACTCCATGGCTCCTACCATCGCGCGGCCGGATGGCCGCATGCGGGTGCATTGCAGACTTTTTGTTGTTGCCTTTTCGGATGTGCATGCGCGAGGAACTTCCTTCTTTGGAACTGCTTCTTGCATGAGCTGTTTCGGATATTTCGTCTCCTGGCCTGGCTTATTTCGTTTCGGTGCTGCTGAGACCTCCTTTCGCGGAATATTACTCAATGACAGGTGAGTTGACCAGTTCCCTTTGATTCATTTGCTTGTGTTGACTCTTTCATTTACGAAAAGTGTGCTGATTTTGGGCGGAATGCAATAAATAATGGAAAAGCTGACAGGATCTCCTTTCTAAATTTAGCTTTTCCGCTGCCGAGGCCTCCTTTTACGGAATACTCAATGACAGGCGATCTCTGAGTTGACCAGTTTCCTTCGATTCATTTGCTTATGCTCACCCTTTCATTTACGGAAACGTGTGCTGATTTTATTCGGATTTAGATCCATTTTTATCTCTTTGCCCTTGCCTACAGTGTGCGAAGAACGCGAGTTCCCCTTCTCGACGGTAAGGCTTATGTTAGATGTGTTGTCAAAATACTCATATTCATTGCACATTAGTACGTTACAAGTAAGGCACTGGTCAGTAGCATACTATCGTTGGCAGTTCCCAATCTGGAGGGAAAGGTTCAAGGACTCATTGACCGAGTTTGCCAAATAAATTCGCATATCAGGGAAAATCTCCATTGTGGAGAGGTTCAGTAACTTGTTTGCTTCATACGAAACAAGCCAACGGGTGCAGTGTCGTCTCGTGAAAATCTCGTACTTGTATGATTGCATTTGTTTACTCGAGTCTGGGCTGTTTGAGTGAGTACTGCCGAGATTGCACTGCCCCAAATAAAGTTTCGTGCCGCCAAAGCAAGAATTACGATCTGCAATCTGTTTGTAGTACCAAGAGTACATAACCCCCCGTACTCTTGGTAGTACTTGCAAGAATGTGCAGTACATGTATCGTACTTTCTCTGTTGCTGTTTCAGTTGCCGTCATGTTGCTAAAGAAAGGTTCACTGGAGAGGTTCTGCAAAACAAAAATTCGAACGAAGTTTCGCGACAGTCCTTGCAAAAGTGTGTACGAATTTTTGCACGAACTTTGCGTTCTGCACATTTTCGTAGTTTGCGCGAGCCAAGTGCACGTACGCCATGACCCGATCTCACGAAATTTCCTACAACAGTTCATTTCGCGTTCCCTGCAAGTTTCGCGTCCAAAGTTGCGAAGTTTCGCACTTCATGATGTAGAGCGAAAGTTTGTACGCATTTTCATTTTGCAGAACCTCTCTAGTGACTCTTTTGTTTCATACGAGATGAGTCGGTGTGGCTTAGAATCTTTCGCTGTAGAAGAAATCTATTCGTGCGTCTATTGGAGAAATAATTGTATTCACTGGTTATACATGTATTATAAAATAGGTTAAGACAAACTCACAGAATAAATACCATCGGTCCCTTGGTGTTCGTCCTAAAGAGGTTCGACTGGATATCATTCATACTCACCAAAAGATGTGTAAGATTTTATTATCATGGAGTGCCTTGTTTATCTCTCAGTATCAGTACCTCCAACCATAGCCTTTAACCTTTTATCCTCAGGATCAGTGTAGTTGTTAGAACGAGGTGTCGGACTCAGCAATGTATTGTTTACATTTTAATACATGTTTATTGTTCCTCCTTTGCTGTGTTTTAGAAAATCGTGGACTAACAGTTTGAAGTCATTGAACTACTTCCAAGAGTTGTATCGACATCAACAGGATTACGATTTCAGTGCAATATGATGCAGGATGACCTTATCACGATAACCCATGATTATAAACCATTATAAACACAGAATCAACAAAAACATCTGCGAAACGCACCTGGCGCATGGCTACATTTCTTCTATATAAATCTGATCGAGGGTGGGGAAATCTGAAATATCTGAAAGGCAAGACAAATTTATGGCAGAGTCATGAAATTCTGCAACAGCAACATGCACAGAATGACCTCCGTATAAAAAAAGTATCGCCACCTGACTACTCACATGTTTCCCCGCAGAAGAACATGCATTATGCTAGTGCCATTTTCTGCAAAAAAAGGCTTGCACATCAATGCGTATAATCAAGAGTACATAACCCAAGAGTGTGCAACTCCAGCTATCAGTCCGTGCGCCAAATTCAAAAAAGTCGTCTAGAAGTTGCACTTTTATTTGCAACCGCGGGAAATTTGAGAGGTCTGGAGAAGAAAATTCTCAATGGGACTCAAAATTGACAAACAAGACGACGACCAGCGCTCGAGCATAGTACCTTTTCGCCAATCCTTCGTGCATGATACCTATTCTAATTGATAAACACTACCCTCATGTTTCGTTTCATGCGCAACGGACGAAGCGAAGTGTCTTTTTTCGTCCACGAAAGAAAGGTAAGGAAATTGTAGTCTTCGCGACACCCTTCGGATTATTTAGTGGGGCATTGTGGGCCAAGGATATTTTTTCTTTTTCTTTACAACTGTCCCCAGGTACTGAGACGGCGCTGATATCCTAGGAGTTCTGTTAGTGCAAAATGCCAGGTTACTGACTTATGGCGAGGTTTGTCCACCCAAAAATATGGGAGATTTCTTGGATAACATACACACATAATACAGTGAATGGTATTGCAGTGGGCATCCAAAACGGTTGAACCAAACAAATATGGTATGATACCTAGAGGCTAGGCACACAAAAATCACTCAGGAATTGGACGCAAGTCCCGGGACCTTGGTGCGTCATTACACCCGGACATTGAATGTTTGCCGGCGCACGGCTTTTGCTTCACCACTTCATACAAGTTTACGCACTCACTCAATTCGAAAGACTGGAACGAGACCAAACCGAATGTGACAACTAAGAGCGAGTTGTGCATTTGTTGGAACAACGTTCGGGCATTGCGAGAAGGATATCAGCAGGGTCCAACAATGGCAGCAACAGCACCAGGTGATGATGGAGTACCAAGGAGCTTGTATCATGCACATTACAGTGAGCAACAAGAGAAACCGTACTGTGGTACGTGAAATCAGAGCCTGGGCAGGATGATCGACACTGTACACTGTGCTACAGCGCCTCAATTGTGCGAGAGAAAACAAACAGACCAGCAAGCACAGATCATGAACTGGTACACAACATTGACAAAGCACAAACCGCACAGCAAAGTTACAGGGCATAGCCGAGCGTTTTGTTGCCAATGAATTGCTTGAGAAGGGAGCAGTATTCCTTGTAACATTGCCTGGAGTATACGAGAACGCAGAGTCAGAACCAGGCGTAACAAGGCAAGACGGCTACTGTACAGGGGACAGGCTTGACGATCACTTGCATACTCGCAATTTTGGTACAACCAGGAAATTAGGCATCACGTCATACCGAAGTGGCTTCGACACGCTACATTGCATTCATAGCTGTACGGTGAACCTGTTACACGAGCTTCTGTGAAACAGACAGCATGCCAATGACCTGCAAGCACCAACAAACGCAGCCGGTAAAACAAACGCTACATAACTGCCCAACATAAACTTGTACATGCTGATGAGAAGCAAGAATGTGCTTGATGTTGGAAGTTATGCTCGCATATTCAAAAGCATGCATGGAAAAACATCAATGACATTGTTCACGAATACAACAGAAACATCATACAGGGAGAGTAAGTAATCCTTCCTCCGTTTTGTATACGCCCACGCGCGCGCGCGCGCGGTAGATAAATCCGTTTGGCATGACTTTCGATCGAGGTTGCGTTCACCGTAGAGATAGGTGAACTCGAAGCCAACACCTCTCACTTTCGCTCTACTGCCCCTTTAGGGCCGGTGCGATCCTTGTGCTAAGTTGTGGTAGTGGCTCAACAGAACAGGACAGGTGTGTGTGTGTGCACACGCGCGCGCGTGCGCGCATGTGTGTGTGTGTGTGTGTGCGTGCGTGTGTGTGTATGTGTAAGTGTGGTTTCTGAACTTTTCTCACAATCGTATAAGTTTCAAATTTTCGTGAAAACCCAGATACACTGTGACCGGTACACTCGCATGTCGTTTACTAGTATCTGGCGGTCAGTCACATGGCATGTCGGGTATCCAACAGCACCGCACTGACAGCTTATAGACCTTATATTTAGTATTTATAGTCCTACTTCAAGTAAATGTAGACAGTCAGCATCATGAAAGTTGCCATTACGTAGAGTTAAATACAAGCCAGTCTCTAGAGATGAGCACGACTGTCTCAGGGTAATACTAGTGATAAATACAGGTACTTCGAAGTACTGCCTTTTTGATCTGTTAAGTTAACAAAAGATGGCTTTGTAGCTTCAGTCGTCCAGAATATTCATTTTATTCCGCGGTTGCCGCATAATCGACACGCAACTGTACTTGTGCAAATCTCCAAACGCTACGTAACTGGCCGACATTTACTTGTCCACGGTGATGAGAAGCACGGCTCCTAATTTTTAAATCATGAAAGGATTACATATGCAGGTACATGCATACAATGTGCACTATCCTGAAGTCGTGCGCAAATATTCAAAATCATTCACCGAACACAGAGAGGCGCACATACTGTAAAGTACCGCGAGAGCGCCCCACCTTGATTTTGCTGCGACAGATTTATATAATACAGCCAGGGAAAGGAAAATCGTATGGCAGTGCAACGAAGTTCGTACGGTGTGAGCAACTTAGTGTACTAAGGTCACACTAAGCAGGTTTTTGTGTGGAGCTCGTGTCCGCTCGAAGGCACAGATTGTCTGCAGAACGTGCAATATGTGTACAAAGTTCGTGTCGTATAACCTACAGACCGGAGACCACCCCACAATACGACCCCGAAAGGACGAGATGGCGGGGCACTCTGGCGGTACTTTACGGTACATGTAAATACGAAGGAACCACATGCGCAACAAGGAGATTAGTCATTACTTTACTTATGAGTTGATGGATAGAAGTTTCCTTTCAGCTGACCATTACCACTCATGAAAGCAATAGTGAGTGCTGTTGTTCTGATTCACAGGTATATATTCGGCACTTAGCGCAATGTGTTTTCGAAGCTAGGCACACGATTTGCATGAGGAAATCATGCAAAGATGTGGCATAAGGCCCTACAAACATGACCTAGGTAAAGGGATGCCATTATTTGCATTTGCAGTACTTTGGCATAGGATAATTTGTGGATGATTGTGTTGATCAATTTCACATAATTTCACGACAGGTCATAGTTTATTTAGTGGGGTGTTGTGGGCCAAGGATCTACGACCATGTCTTTTGCATTTCGAACAAGTAGACACTTTCAACAATTTATACAAAAAATGCCTTCAGTGCAAAACATACCGTTCGGACACACCAGGCAGTCCTTTCCAGCCTTGATTTTCAAGTGCAGACGTATCCACGATGACCTTCGAGTGAACTGCGGCTTGGAACACTTTGAATACGAACCACACACTCAAACTAACTAGACCACCGCATAGCTAGTGTATTCACGGAGCCAAAGAAGTCTCCTTTTGCCCCCACAGGGTCTTGGTTAGTTCTCTAGAAGGGACGAGAGCCATACCTAAATTCAATAAATTCTCCAATTCCAAAAGCCTCAAATGAAGGCGTCTTGGTGACTTCGTTTCCCGCGGTTGCAAATAAAATCAGCCCTTGAGTATCCCTTGGCGCACGGACTGCTATGGGGTCTGCGACGGCAGAACTTCACATCACGTGATGAACCCGTGCACTCTAGTGCATGATAGATACTGGGTTGTACGCAGCCCAGCTTTGGGTACAACTCTCTTGTGGTCACTTTGCACTGTTTGCCAGCATAACCTTTTGAACCATGTCACGTGATGTGAAGTTCTGCCGTCGCAGCACAGCATAGAGGTTGTGCAGGCAGTTGCACACTCTTGGTTATGTACTCTTGGTATAATCAAGAGTACATAACCCCCATTATGTACTCTTGGTATACCTCTTGATATGATGTGAGAGCCATCATTTACATATTCATATAGGGCATTCCATTGATTGGCATTGATTGGTGACAGAAAAACAAAAGAAATTATAGCAATAAAAACTGCTTTATGGCAGTTTTCTAAAAAAAGTTATTGTGTTCTAGTCCATGGAGCCCGTCTAAAAAGTAAGAAATTAACGAAATGTGATAGCTGAAAATTAAAATTTCACACAAAACCTCACAATAATCACACACAGAATTAAAAGCTACATGTAGAAGACCTTTTCCCCTCGTGATCTTCTTTCCTATGCATTCATGTTGCCAATTGTTGGTGCAGTACAAGTTAAAGTTGAAAGCAGCATTTCAAGTGTTGTGATTATTGTGAGGTTTTGTGTGAAATTTTAATTTTCAGCTATCACATTTCGTTAATTTCTTACTTTTTAGACGGGCTCCATGGACTAGAACACAATAACTTTTTTTAGAAAACTGCCATAAAGCAGTTTTTATTGCTATAATTATAATGTCCCCCCTCTAGGATCAAAGGCGCAGATGCAGCGCCTAAACGGTGGGAGGTGAGTAGATCAGACCCACCACCAAGTGGTCAAAGACCGAAATCCCATTAGCTGCATCCATGTTACCCTCGTGCCAGGCC